TTAAAAAATAAAAATTACTTAAATAAATAAATAATTTAATAAAAAGTAACGAAAAAACTTAAAAAAATATGAAAATCATTAAAAATATTCATACAAAATATTTTTGAGCTAGATTTTTTTGTTGTACTTATTATAGTTATCAATTTTTTAGTTTTTTCTATATATTAATAGAAATTCAAATCCTTCAAGGTTGAGTCAGTTTGATTTTTATTTAAAAAAAAAAACAATTAAAACCCCCCTACTCCTCGGTTATGTTTTAAAATTTCAACCGGTTCAAATTAATTTTGTTAGGTTGTGAATTTTTTTTCCCCCAACTCATACTTCGGAATGAGACCTTGTCTTACATAATGATTAATCTTTGTGGAAATTGGTATAGTAAACACAACCGGTGCTACATTATTACATGCACGGACACAAAAAGTCCTTGCGGTCACCATGGCAGACAACAATGTTCCATACCCATCGCTTTAGCCAATCACAACTCGACAGCGTTTTTGACGAAACCACTCTGGTTTTAGAATACCATCTATTCCTGCATCCAACCAGCTCTTATTTCTCCAATGTGGTTTGCAACTTTTCTATATTTGTAAACATAAAATGGTATAAACCTCCTCCGGGCCTCGCCTCCATTTGCTTCACTCATCATCTCTCCCCGGAGGAGTGTGAGCTCACAGCATTTTCTGAAAGGTACGCAGAGAAAACCAACTTTCCATCTCCTCTTCTTACCTAATTCTTCACGTTCTTGTTCTTCCGGAATCTCCGGAGACTTCTTGCTTTCACTTTTGCTGTGTGAATTGTTGCTCGGGAGAGAGAAGGAGAGATATGGGGAGGGGTAGGGTTCAGCTGAAGAGGATAGAGAACAAGATCAACAGGCAAGTGACCTTCTCCAAGAGAAGGACGGGGTTGTTGAAGAAAGCCCATGAGATCTCCGTTCTCTGCGATGCTGAAGTCGCTCTCATCGTCTTCTCCACCAAGGGAAAGCTCTTTGAATACTCCACCGATTCATGGTACATATCATCTCAATTCCTTTAATTCAATCTCCTCTCCTTCCAATTCTCTCTCCTCATGCATATGCGTTCTCGATCAATTTGCTTCAATACTTAGTTATTCACTTTCACTTATAACGCTATTTGATTTCAATTTTGTTTTCTTTTCTTGCAGTTTTTCTTTGACACTTACATCGTGTACTTGAATTGATTTCGTTATGATTAATTTTGATGAGAATGCATGGATGAAAATAACAAAGATATATATATATATATATATATATATATATTTGAGCGAAACAAATATATACATATACATATATATATATATATATATGAGGTTAGAAAGGAGTTATTTTCTTATTTGAGATCTTTGATGTTAATTTATATAAAGAAGGATTTACAAGATTCTTTCCTAATCTGGAACCCAAATTAGTTATTTCCAGTTAATTCAGACGCATTTCCCAATATATAATTTTTTTGTCTTATTACAAAGTAACTGTCTCGTTTATTGAAAGTTAGTTATACGAATAGATAAATTAAAAAAAAATCATTAAATTAAGATAATTTTATAATAATATATGTACAGTTATACCTTATATTTAAATAATTTCAAGTAATTATATACAAAAAGAAAAGTGTTGAGTAACTCGTCTGTCTTTTGTAAGTCAGATATGTAATTTATTGACGCTAACGTTATAGTACAACTTTGCACCAAAAAATGCTATAATACAACTCCAATTAATCCTTGCACAATCTTTTACCACTCATAAATTATATTTTGAAAACAAATGCCACTAATTAACTTGAAGATGATTTTCATATACAATTGTGAATAATGTGAAGGGTTAGCAAATATAATATAACCATGGTGACCTCTTTTATTCTTTGATATATAGAGGGTAAGGGAGGGAAGAGAAGGAAATGTTAACTTGGTGTGGTTCGATTGGTTTTTAAACTATTTATCTCATATATGGCTTAATTTAGAACTAATTAAGTAATTAAGATACACAGAGCACACTCTTAGATCTGTGTATTCTGACTTTTATTCTTCAATCCAGCATGGAGAAGATCCTTGAACGATACGAGAGATATTCATATGCAGAAAGGCAGCTTGTTGTGACTGATGCTGAACAAACCGTATATGCAACAGCCTCTTGAATATGCTAAAAGCACGTATATATTGATCTTTTTGTCTTTAACTGTTTTTTTTTTCTTTTTCTTTTCTTCTTGTGTGTGATTATTCTAGGGTTGCTGGAGTCTGGAGCATGCAAAGCTTAAAGCTAGACTTGAGGTTTTGCAAAGAAACCAAAGGTACTAACTTATTTCAAAATTTGGGAAGAATGCATTCGGTCATTGAAAAATTAAGAAAGAATTAAAGTATTTGTCTTGTTAATCTTTGCAGGCATTACGTGGGGGAAGATCTTGACAGCCTAAGCCTCCGAGAGCTGCAAAATTTGGAGCAACAGCTTGACTCTGCCCTTAAACTCATAAGATCAAGAAAGGTATATAAGATATATATCAGCAAAAGCTTTGGGTAGTAGCATGTAAGATATCTTACTGATCTATATATATATGTGAATAACTTGTGCTGTCTTCTTTCCTTTGCAGAACCAACTCATGTTTGAATCAATCTCAGAACTTCAGAAAAAGGTAAACCGTTTTGCCCTTAATTTCTGTCCTGGTTACCATAAGTGGAAGCAAAACTTTAGAATACTCTTCATCATTTCACGGTGGAGTAAGTGCCAGACACTGGCCAGTGTTGATCTCTCCCACAACAATATATCTAGGAGAGTTAAACTGGAAACTGTATATTTTCGAAGGAGATTTTCATAGTACCTGCAAGTTGCACATGCAAGTCCATTGAATATAACAACTTTATGAATTAGAATATATATGGGTTTTTCTAACTTGTATCCTAAAAATATAGGTTAATAACATTTTTAAGTATTAATTGTTATTGAAAAAATAAAAATTAATTTTTATTTAATCAACTGTCAATTAAAATGATTCGTGTGGCATAGATGAAATTAATGTTAGGTTTTATTATTTTTAATACCAATTAATGTAAAAAAGATTTATTAATTACATTATTAACCTGTGCTAGAAAACCTCTTAGAATATATTGCGTTGTCTTGTTTAAAGAGTAGATATCATGTCTGACTTCTCTTATTCACAGGATAAGGCTTTGCAGGAGCAAAACAACTTGCTTGCAAAGAAGGTAAAGATTTCATTTCACAGATATGTTAATTAAGTGATCTTATTGTCTAGTTTAGGTTGTTCTGTAATTACATGCTAAATGACCAAATAATTAACTTTTTGAGCCAAAAAATAGGTAAAGGAAAAGGAGAAGGGACTAGCCCAAGAAGCTCAATGGGAGGGACAAAATTTTGGCCAAGACACATCCCCAGTTGCTCTTCCACATCCAATGCCACCCTTAACCATCAATAGGTTCTCTCTCTCTCTCTCTCTCTCTCTCTCTCACACACACACACACTCACAGATGCATGCTGCAGATAAAATTCGTTAATTTCACTATGAAGACTGAAAATGTCATGAACATATATATATATATATATATATATAATGGATTTATTCCTCTACTTTCTTGGTTGTTCTTGGTTGTTGATGTAACTACAGTACTAAGGCACCTAAATGATTTGATCCACAATGCAGCAATGGAGTAGCGGACCACGAAGGCAATCCACCACAACATCGAGCCAATGCACTCTTGCCACCATGGATGCTCCGCCACCTCAATGAGTAAGGATTAGTAGAGCCAACCTTTGCTCTCTCCACTAGTTATGCAAGTTTGATGTGTCTAATTTCCATGTTGATGCGGGAACTAAGGTCAAGTGTGTTAATGTCTATAATAAAAACATAAACACGTTTGTGTTAAAGTTTGGGATGTATATGTTTCCAAGCTACCACGACACTCTGGCAAATGCCGCTGGTATTTTGATATATATATATATATATAGAAGTTCCAAGACATGGCAACTCTGGTGAAATATTGTTATTTATGAACTGATAATATAATTTTAATTTTATATGGTTATATATAATCACTACTTTATTTTTTGAGAAAAGCTTCAATTACTATCAGATTAGACTAATTAAAAATCTGCAACCTCTTTTTCTTTTTCTTTTTTTTCTTCCCTTTGTTAAAGGCTTATATTTCTTATATATGTGACTTGTGGAATATGGTTTGTTAGGGTGCTGGTGTCTGGCTGTAGGAAGGACTTTTTGGTTTAATTTTTCAATTTTCCTTTTTATTTTTAATTTTTTTAATATATTTAATGATAAATTACATAAGAGTTAAAAGCTTAATCAGTTTGTTGGGGTTTCGGGGTAAAAAGGGTGGAGAGAGGACTTAGAGGAGAGGCAAAGGAGTTCCTTTTCCTTCTTTTGGTGAGGTGAAAACTCAATTTCTTTCATCCGTCTTCTTCTGCCATTTTATAGTAGAAAGCTCATAATACATAAACACTAATTTCTTCCTAATGCAATAAATTTTTCTACCCAACACGTTGACTAATTTGTACAACTCCAGCTGGTTGTCACTCAGCTGTTACTGTGCTGTTATTCTAGCTCTCACTTCTTTTCATTTGCTGCCGCCTGCCACTGTGTTGCAGCTTTGACACCACAACTCTTTGTTGAAGGACAGTTTGGAGTTCTTCGGGGGAGGACATCTTTAATTTGGGTCATTTTTGTCATGATAAGAAGTTTGGAAAGGTCAATGGAGAAAGGCTCATAGACGTACGAATATATTAAACTCCTGACTCAAACAAAACAGAGGTCCGTCCCTATCATTTTTTATTGGCACAGCAACAACCCGACTTAAACGTTTAAACCTAGGTGCTGCTTGTCGACAATTGTCGTTGCTTTCTGTGATTAAAACTATAAAGTTAATCCTAATCCTTAAGCAGGAAATGGATTTTAACAATGAGATTACAGTTTTCCATTCGAACAGGTAAAAGTAATGCCAGTTGAGATTGAAATCTTATTGTATAACATGATAAAATTTTTATTAACTCTTTTAATTTAGGTAAATACGTGATATTATGTAAATGTACTTAGTTCCTGTTACGTGTATGGTGAGAAATTTAATATCAAAAAATCAAAACTGAAAATGATTAAAATTTGATATTTTAATCCAACTTTAATTGATTCCATATTCTCATTACAGAATCTCTAATTTATCCCCATAAAATTAGGCGATTGAAGTTAATGCATAAAGCTTAAAAGGAAAATGATTTTGAGTCAATATATTAAATATATTTACTTATTTAATAATATATAAAAAATATATCAAATATTGATATAAAAAAATTATTTATATAATGCTGTTCATTTTAAAATTCCAAAACCAGTGCAAGAATTTCAACGACAAGATTAAAAAAAAAAAACCCAACAAGATGCTAATTAATTAATGTAGTCATCAATAATTCATCAGTTCATAATCAATCAGTCTTGGCAATGTTGCAACGTGCGCTGCGGAATAATTAAAACAAGTCTGTCTTGATGGGGTCCAAGCCCGGCGACAAATGCTAATGTATAGCAGCCCAATTGCCCTACACTATCATGCCACGCACGTTCGACTAAACAAATCAACAAGACCCATTCTTTAAAATCGACAAACATTACCCATGAGCACGACGAAATTTTTGCTCCCATTTACCCTTTTCGAGATTTATTTATACATATATAGGAATGGCATTTTGTGTTTCACATCCAAGGTTGTGCTTGACTCTGGAGAATATCAAAATGGCTAGATCATATAGCTGGTTACACAGGTTAACCATTAGGTGGTCTGGTTCTCGTGCTCGTATCCGTTTGCCGTCTCTCCGCCACAGAACTGGTGTATTTGATGGGGTTGAGAATGATCAGGAAGTTGAATTTTTGAGAAAAGCGGCGGTGGAAGAGGAGCTGGTCAGCAGTGAGGCTGGTGGCGGTGGCGGTGGCGGTGGCGGCAATAGGGTCATGTTGGTGGTTGATTCAAGTGTGGAGGCTAAATGGGCTCTTGAATGGGCCATATCTCACGCTGTTCGAGTGGAAGATACGATTGTACTTCTTCATGTGGGCAAGCCCAAAAAAAGCGGTGAGCTTTTTCTTAGTAGAGCATAGCCTGGTTGTCCTAATTCCCATTTAAGTTTCTAGTTTGTCGGTCTTGTATTGTCGTCATAAGTTTTTTTTTTTTTTTTTAATTTTTTATAATTTTAAGAATATATAAAATATTAACTAAAATCAGTAACCTATATAAAAAATTATTATAAATTATAAATTAATATTTTTAGATGAGGTATTGTGTGAAAAAAGTCTATGAAAAGCATTGACAAACAAAGCCTAATTTGATCTTCATGGAGGTTACTGCAGTGTCCAACGGGAAGCAAAGTGCAAGAGTCAAGGATTTGCTTCAATCCATGAAAAATAAGTGTCAGAACAGGAACCCTGGGGTGAGTGACACAATTAGAGATTTCATTTTCTTGAGCCTTCACGTTGATGTTTTGTTGCATTGCATATTTTGTATATAGGTGCGAGTGGAGGTGGTGATGGTGGAGGGGAAGGAAAAGGGTCCAGTGATTGTAGAAGCGGCAAAGCGGCACAAGGCATCGCTTCTGGTGCTAGGTCAAAGAACGAGCTGGATGATATGGCAGCTGTTGAAGAGATTGGCATGGAGAGGAGGTCACGGAGGTGACTGCAGCAGCAGTGAGGTGGATTACTGCATCCAAAACGCTTCGTGCATGACGATTGCAGTGAGAAAGATGAGCAATGATCTCGGAGGGTACTTGATCACCACCAGGCATCACAAGAACTTCTGGCTTTTGGCTTAACGGTGGAAATAAGCTAAATTTCTTGACATCTTCTAATGGAATCAGTTTTTCTCTTGTAATCTAAACCAAAATATACTTGTGCAATCAAAATCGAGATCAAATTCTGCAGTAACCAAACCAAAATAGGCTACTCAGAGAGAGTGGAACTCGCGATGCTTAATTTATTTCTGAAATTTGCAATGTATAGTTGTTTCAAGAATACATCAGTGTGTTAATAATGAACTGTACAGTAAATATTGTAAGAACACTGTCCTAGCTACAAGATCTACATTTCCTGCCAAAACTAACGTTCCCCCCCACCCCCCCAATCTCCTCAACCCCTTTTGGCTCTTTTCATACCTCCCCAAACATGAGTAAGAATCAACTTGGAAGCTATGCCAGTATACAAATACCGTGTCTCTGGCATTCATTTCAACGTACCTTGACATGGCTCGAAAATATAACCATGTCTTAATGCAAATTGGTGTAACTGATCATAACCTGCAAGTACTCCAGCCCCTGCCATACCAAGAAGCATATTTGCAGTAACTCCACGAAAAAGTGCAGTGAATCCCTCAAGATGAATTATCTCTTGTAAAGCATGCATGGGATTGCGATACTTAACTGGTTGTCCAGAGGTCAGCATCATTCGCCGTCGAATTGTGTCAAAGGGATAGGCACAGACCCCAGAAACAGTGGTGATACTCCAACCCAGAAAGAAACTAGCAAAGAAATTCCCCTAGAAAGAACATATGAGACACATCAAATGTTTGGAAATAGCTTTTTGAGGACGTCGTGCAAATGAATTTCACACTTGTGACTGATTACTGTTTGTCACCAAGGCACCAACTGATAATCATACTAAACTTCCGTGAAAAGCTTTCAATGAGGTTTCCAAAAAAAAGGTTTCAAAAATCATCTTAACATCATAAGGCAACAGAAAGCAGCTAATAGCTATCTTGAACATGGTACTGAATTTAAATGCCCACCTCAAGAGGTCCAACCAAAACAATAGGCTTCATTGTGTCATAGATCCCAAAGTACATGCCTCGGTACAAAGTGATTCCCACGATTGAAACCCCAAATCCACGATATAAACCTACAATGCCATCACTTGACAATGTTTTCCGGTATACATCCAAAAGCCCTTTGAACTGTCGTTGGCCATTAACTGAGCATTGTATTGCATCAGTGCCAAGCCTGGTACGTGCATAATCCAAATGATATAGCAACAATGATGTAGTTGCCCCAGCAGCACTCCCTGAAGCCACATTTCCAGCAAACCACTTCACATAGCCATCTTTCTCTTTTGAGCGTCCAAAATAGCTTTTAAAGTAACCTTTAAATGCAAAGTTGAGAGCCTATGGAAATAGAACATCTACTCAGTAAAAAGTATGTAACTATATAAAGGATAAGCTGATATTTTACAATAACCATGCAATAGTGCAGGCAACAAAATGCCAATCATCACAATTCATGTTGAAACATTTTTGTTTGGAAAAAGCCCTAAAATAAAATATCTCTCAATTGTCAACAAGGAAAATAACATCAGAAAATCAACATTTCATGATGGTCCAGGAGCCTACAAAGAACCAGGATACCAGACAGAGGTTATATCTAGGTGGTGACACAATAACCGTAGCAAGTTCAGGGTGTCATAACTGGGAAGAGCAATATGACAACACCTCAAACTATTCCACCTAATGAACATATTATTTTTAACACATATGGCACAAATGAATTGATCAGGTGCTCATTGACAGTTCACACACATTAAGTCTTGGTCTATCCATCAAATTAACAACTCATAGGCTTAATTGGGTGCTCTAAAGGATCTTTTAAGACTTGGTAAGCATTTGCAGCTTGACATAAGTAGCTCATGGTCTCTGTCAAGTTACACAATAAGAAGAATAGGAAACTCAGAAGGTCAATCTACTGTTGGTTATATCTAAATAAATTTCACTAAGTTTCCTGCCTTCAGACCTTTGAAATCTATTTCTTGTAGCTGTTTGTAGAGTTTGTATAATAATAAGGCAGAGTATTTCAGGATCTCCTCTTTTATGATTGAAATAATCTTTCCAACTTGATTTTGGATCATTTTTTGTTTTTCAAATACTCCATTCTCTTTCACAGAGGTGGTCATCACAAGAAAAATTAAGATCATGATAAAAATGACTTCAAAACGGATCAGAAGTACTGGACATCAGTCAAACTTTGAAAGAGAAGAAATGCCATGTAATCTCAATGTTCTGTCAATATTCTTTTATTTTATTTTATTTTTTTCATTATCTTTCCACCAGATCAAAAATGAAGAGCACACACTCAGGTAAAGCATTTTAAAACAGAAATTACATCCAATTTTTTGCAGAATAGAAGATAATTTTTTTTCCAACACAACTCTTCACCAATTGTACAGTAGAAAACATCACCCTTTCCATCAATTTTACACTTCATCCAGTCACTCAACAATTTTATTAACTGTCTCCTAGGTTATGCACAAACAAGATATCAGCAATCGTGAAGTTATGGCAGACAAGCTGAAAAAGAAAAAAGATGCCTAGCATCTCAGTCAGCACAATAAGCAGTACCTTTCGATGTAAGTACCTTAGAAATCAATGAAATCTAATGTGATGTCCCTTAAATGCATGCTAGTCCTAAACATACAGTTGCAAAAAATGGGTCATTTATACAAGAAAGGTTTTCAGCTGTGTTGAATTGATAACCAAAGATGTACAGTTAAATGAATAAGTCACGGGCTAAAGATGATATACCTGAGTAGGGAAATATCTTATGACATTGGCTTGGTTACCCCTCCAGAATGAGATGAAACCTTCCTCTCTCAAGACCCTCCAAAAGCAATCACCAACACCCACATAAGGTCTCTTGAGCTGTCTTCTCTTGACCATCTCCCCTTGACTTTGCAACAACAGCTTCACTCTTTCAATGGGTGCCACAGCACTCTTTGATATCACTGCTGCTAGACCTCCCATCACAAAATCACCTGAGAATTTCACGGATTGCCTCCCTGTTTCCATTTTATATATCTCCCTGTCTTCCCTCCACTTCTCTCTACAAATGCAACGTGATTGTCACATTCATTGCAAAAAATACCAATAAATGGAAAAATGAAAAAAAAGAAAAAAAGAGAAACCCACACAAACAAACAAAAAGGAGAGACCTTTCACGTACTAAATTAACCCAAGAAATAGTTTCATCATCTGGGTATCTTGCATTCAACCTTTTCATATCACTTTTTTATATCAGCAAACCTTTGGACATAGATGAAGTATAGCAAGAAGCTTCAAAAAATTCAAACTTCTGCATTAAAACTACTGAAATTCAAAGGTGGGATTTGAGATTTAAGGAAGTAAACAGCCATAATAGAATAGGTTGAGAGGTAACGTGTTAACCATTGAAGCATCACCCAACAACAAAAATGAGAATAAGATTATCGAAGTTTAAAAGAAAAAAAGATAAGGGAAATCAAATGAGAAAATAAGGAGAGATAAATATATACCTATAGAATTCCTGAGAAACAAAGAGAGGGAATGAAGATGGGAGGAGTCGGAAGATTCTTCTTTGTTGTTGGGAGGCAGAAGGAGAGGCAGAGGCTATTCGCAATTTAGAAAAGAGAAAATCTGGTTTTTTATTTTTTGTTTTTTACCGTATTCATTGAGGATTTTTTGTAGTGCATCAATTTAGAAATCAGCTTGGTTTTTACACGGTCGGATTTGTTTCGGGTATTGAAATTATTTAATTATTATTAATAAAATAATATAAAAATATTTTTATTAAAAATATTTTAATAAATTTATATGTTAAAGTTAAATTATTAAATTATTATTAATGAAATAATATAAAAATAATTTTAATAAAATAATTTTTAATAAATTTATGTATTAGAGTACATTTTTAATATATAGTCTCACTTGTAAAAATATTTTTTTCGTTTTTGGTATGTATTGGACAAAAAATTTAACTATGTCTCATGAAAAACACCAATTTTATCAAATATTTAACTATGTTTTCTTAATGATAAAACTAAGTTAGCCCAAAATCAAAAGGGTTTGCAGTCCAACAATAGAGTGCTAAATATTAATTATTGAATTAAGGAGCTATTTAATATAATAATTTAAAATTAGTAATTAATAATTTTATTTAATATAATAAATAAAAATATTTCAATTATAAATAATAACAATTATCAACCCCTTAAATTAAACAAAATCATTATTTGATCATTTCAAACTGCTTAGAACAGGTAGTTGTTAAAATAGATCTCCATATCTTAGGAGAGAATCCTTTATCTAAATATTGATATTTTATGATTTAATATATTTTAAACTAAATTATTAGATTTACAATGATAATAAAAAAAATAAAAACACTATATGCAGACAATTTACATATTAAGGCTCATATTTTTAATAATTTTTTT